GACCTAAAATTCCCTTTTTTTCACATGATTAATTTCTGTTTAAAGGTTAAGATTTGCTATAGGTGTTTCTTTGAGGGAGTCTTCTGGGATCCTGTTTAACTGGGTTATATATCCATACACAGTACTCTCTTAATAACCCAGTGTAAGCCTGTTTCTCTGCATTTCCACATCATTTCATTAGTGTCTATTTATTTTCTTCCTCGTTAATATAAGAGTACTTTGAAAGAAAGGGCTATGGCCTCTTTACCTAGGCTTCTCCTGAAGCTACTATTCAATACCTCACCTTTCATAGGCACTGAGTTGGTAGTGAGTGATGTGAATGAATGATTGAATGAATGAATGGTTGACTGGATTAATGAGAGATTGATAGTTGCAATGGATGAAAACAGTACCCCACTTCCACGTCTCTGGGACTACCCCATTCCTCAAACTGTTATGTTCATTGTATTCCACAAATAAGTGAGATCATATGATACTTGTCTTTCTCTGTCTGGCTTATTTCGCTTAGGCTAATACTTTCCAGGTCCCTCCATGTAGTCTCAAAAAATAAGAGATCTTTCTTTCTTATAGCTGCATAGTACTCCATTGTGCACGGAAGTAGGGCACAGACTAACATTCCTCAGAAGAGGGGGTGGGGGTGGGAAGAGATAAACCACAGAACTTATATGCATGTGTGCATAACCGATGGACATGGACAACAAAGCCCGGGATTGGGCGGGGGATGGGGGGATGGGGAGGAGGGTGTCAATGGAGTAAAAAAGGAGAAACCTCTGTAACAAAAAAATAAATAAAAAATTAAAAAAAAAAATACAAAGGCAAGCCACTGTATGGGAGAGCATCATTGCCAATGATATATCAGATAAGGGGTTAGTTTCCAATATATAGAGAGTGCTCATACAACTCAACAAAAGGAAGACAAAGAACCCAATTAAAAATGGGCAGAGGAATTAAATAGACACTTCTCCAAACATACAAATGGCTGAGACATATGAAGAAATGCTCAACATCACTAATCATCAGAGAGTTGCAAATTAAAACAATAATGAGGTATCACCTCACACCTGTCAGAATGGCCGCCATCAACAAATCATCAAGCAACAAGTGTTGGCAAGGGTTTGGAGAAAAGGGGACTCTAGTACACTGCTGGTGGGAATGCAGACTGGTGCAACCACTATGGAAAACAATATGGTGTTACCTCAAAAAATTAAAAATTGAAACTCCATATGACCCAGTGATCCCACTTCTAGGAATATTCCCTAAGAAGCCTGAAACACCAATCAGAAAGAATACATGTATCCCCATGTTCATAGCAGCACTATTTACAATAGCTTAGATCTGGAAATAAATCTAAATAATTAATCTTTCAAAATATTTTGTGTGTGTTTGTAGGATTTCTGTTTCCAATGCTGTAGTTTGAAACTACACTAAGTTTGGGGGATACTGTGTACCTGGATGTTCTTTTCATATTTATAATCATTTTACTTTTTCAATAACCAAGTCAGTTTCAGAGATGTACATATATTAAATACACAGATGTCTGGAAACAGGGTGATGGTTACGAAATATGTCTTTAAGGTAGCTATCCTGGGCATGGGTGGGAGGCAAAGCTACTCTGTGTCTGAAATATTTCAAGTAGGTTTATAGAATATTTCCTCAGAATCCAATGCTGCCCATATGTTTTGGACCCTAGTTTGTCTTTCCAGATCATTACTAGCTATATTTTCTGTCTTTTCCAAACAAATAACATGCCAACAAGACACCCTAATTGAGCCTGTAGTGAAAACACTTTGCCTATGAGAAACTTTTCGTTATGTACATTTTAAGCCAGAGAACATAGTCCCCTAACAATTTAACAGATACTTGGAAAGATTTATAAAAGGTACTAACCTAAAATAACTATCACAAAAGTATATTGCTTCCTGAAGTTAAAGAAGATACATAATATTTTACTAGCAAATCCTCGGTTTGAGTAAGATTTGTTTGTGATATGACGGTTGTTCTAAGACAGACAGACTGCTGACTGAAGCTCTGCACACTTCTGAGCTGGCACCTGAAAGGGTTACACAATCCGTTGTCATACTTCGGTCCATTCTTCCAAACAGAATCCAAAGTGTGAAAGCTCGGTGGGATCTTAATAGTAATTTACACAGTAGGTATATTACTATCTTTTTTAGCAGTATGAAACCAAGCTCCCTATGGAAAAGAAACAGCAGATAGGAAGGGGTGAATGACCTAACTTCCTGGACAATAACTTGCTGAGATTTGGCTTTCCCTGGGTCCCCTGCATTCCGTTGTCATTACTAGTGCAAAGTAGCCTCCAGAGTGGGGCTGTTTATCATTGAAAACGGTGGGGTGGGGTGGGGTGGGGTGGGTGGAGGTGGAAGAGAGCATAGAGGGGATAAATGGTGATGGAAAAAATAAAATTAAATTGAATTGAATAAATATATGAAACTGTGGCCCAAAAAGAAACAGAAGCATCCACAACCTTCATGGGTGACATGGGAGAAAAAAAAAAAAAAGATAGCAGCCTAATAAAAATGGTAGAACAACTTTATACATATTTAATAGTTAGAAATATGTGAGCCTACAATAAATATGGCACTCTACCAGAAAAAGACCTGCGTGCAGTTTGCTTGCGGAAGTGAGTTTCAGAGGGTTACAGCCTGGGCGTTATAACGGGGTAGAGGGCGGGTTATCTGAAATCTCGCGAGATGTGGTCGCAGCAGGTGCAGAGGGTTGCGCTTTATCACAGATGCAGTGAGCTGTGGTAGCTGCAGACGTTTGATGGGCCATGTTTCGTGGACGCTCACGTGTCTCAGTTCGTCTGGGTGCAGTTTGCACCTTGTTTCTCCTGCACGAAACTGCAGAAGCAAGCACCAAATTTGCCCAACACTCGAAATGTTCCCTGATACATCGGTCAAGTTTGGAACAAATGCCCATGTTCAAAATGAGTGTTATCACAGAACTGAGCATGCTGGGTGCTGGAAAAGTTCAAGTGGGAGAAGGTAGGTTCTGGGTTCAAATGCGTTTAGGAAATAAGTTAATTGAGCAATGTTGAATTTTTGCGAGTAAGAAATTTCAGAAACTCTATATGCTAATGTAAACCCTGAAACTTCAAGAAGGCAGAGAGTTTGCAATATTTTTCCAAATTATTTCACCTTAGAATCTCCTTTTTAATCTGTGGTGCAAATAACATTAACATCTCCTAACAATAATATCTCACGTAGCACAGTTTGATAAATACTTCTTTAGTAATGTTTCATATTTATTGTTATAAAATGTAAAACAGGGATTTTGCTCATAAGAGAACTATATTATGATCTAACTCAATTTTGTGTGTATTTAGAAAAGAAATGTGAAATAATTCTTTTAAAATTCCATTTACATGTCTCACATTGCTGGTTGTGTTTCTTCTGGCTCAGAGAACGGAACTATAACAAACAATTAAAATGCTCCCTCAAAGCTAATAATTGTCTTTTCAGCATTCCATACCGTCAAAGTCTCACAAAGCTACGCCGAATAAGTAAATGGGAGTTTTAAATGTATATGGTTTTCTTGGATTTCAGTGTGATTATTCTATAAATAAAATCCTTTTTGTGAAAGGCTAAAAGAAAGGGAGTTTTGTTTTAAATTACTAATTCTACCTATTATGTCATTATATGTGTGTGTGTGTGTATTACATATATAATATATTAATAAATTTTACAAAATAAGGATGATTTTTGCATTCATAAATATGTTAGGCAGAGCTCATGTAAGTGTTATTACCACAAAACAAAAGGAAAATAACACAAGGACATTTTTGGAGGTGATGAAGATGCTTAATATCTTGATTGTGATGATGGTATCATGAGCATATGCAAGTGTCTAAACTCATCAAAATGTATATGTTAAATATGTGCAAATTTTATATCAATTATAGCTCAGTAAAGTTTAAAAACTGAGTGTTGTCTTGTTATATAAACTCTTTCTGGGTTTACAGTAAATATAGTGTACATCAATGCTATATGGTTTTTAACTATTGTGAATGAAAATAAAACTTTTCCAGCTATGGTAAAAGAGACTTTGCAATGGAAACATATCAGATATTAGTGCATAAGAAATAAATCCCTTCTTGAAACTTGGATAAATTCTAGCTACCTACATTGTTCTTCCATCCACAGCATAATCTCCTGTATTCTCAAATGTTCTCTCTGTGTTTCAGGCATTTTAAATTGAAGAGTCACTGCTTGGGTTCTTAATTAAAAGAAATTTAGAAGAAAAATAAATTCAATATCCTGGCCAAAAAGCTACCTATCTATTTCAAGAACACACACACACACACACACACACGTCCCTTTTAAGCAGGAATAAACCTAGGTGCCGCAAGATGACTTATTCTGATATGAAAGAATGTCCTCCAGGGAGCAGTTGTTTTCCCTGAAAACTTGAACAGGGAAATTCATTCTCTCACATCCTGCCAGCTTCCCGGTTCCACGGCTTCTGCATCCGACTCAGTGCGGCCCTGCAGTCTGGATCCCTGAGCATCATCGGTGTCTCAGTCGGCCACAGGACTTGGATTGGTCAATCGAAAGCAGAGGAGGAGCCACTCTGAACATTTCTTTCCCTCCACACACCGTAAAACCAGCAGCAGCTACTGACACTCACAGCAATGCTTCCAGGGGAGCCCTGGGAGGGGGCGAGGCGGGCATGTGCACGCAGATCCGTCTCCCAGGGGCGCAGCAGCTACTAGGAAAATTCTCTTCCAAAGACCTGAATGCCTAAGACTACAGTGAAAGTGAAAGTGAGAACAAAAAAAAGCAAACAGCAGACTCTTTTGACTGAGAATAAGCACTCTGAAGCCAAAGATTTTAAAAGGATGGTGATCAGAGCAGTACCTGAAAGAGACTAAAACTTCCATTTCAAGCTCTGGGGCATGTGACACTCACTCACAGTAAGCATGCCAGTTTGGGGCTCATGAAGGACAGACAAGGACCTGCAGAAAACCACGGAGGCTACCCGACCCAGGAGGTGAAAGCAACTCAGAGGGACTTGAATCCACTGACTCGGGATGAACTCAACCCATCACCACAGAATGCACACTTCTCTCCACTTCCGGAACCACAGCACCCACAGGGTGCCCAGCAATGCCAGCGAGTCCCTCGGAAAGGGTTACTCCGAGGGGGGGTGCTACGAGCAACTCTTTGTCTCTCCTGAGGTGTTTGTGACTCTGGGTGTCATCAGCTTGTTGGAGAATATCCTGGTGATCGTGGCGATAGCCAAGAACAAGAACCTGCACTCACCCATGTACTTCTTCATCTGTAGCCTGGCCGTGGCTGACATGCTGGTGAGCGTCTCCAACGGCTCGGAAACTATTGTCATCACCCTGCTGAACAGTACAGACGCGCACGCACAGAGGTTCACGGTGGACATTGACAATGTCATTGACTCGGTGATCTGCAGCTCCTTGCTTGCATCCATTTGCAGCCTGCTTTCCATCGCGGTGGACAGGTATTTGACTATCTTTTACGCTCTCCAGTACCATAGCATCATGACGGCTAGGCGGGTGGGGGTCGTCCTCAGCTGCATCTGGGCGGCGTGCACAGTTGCGGGCATTTTGTTCATCATTTACTCAGACAGCAGCGTGGTCATCATCTGCCTCATCAGCATGTTCTTCACCATGCTGGCTCTCATGGCTTCTCTCTATGTCCACATGTTCCTCATGGCCAGACTGCACATGAAGAGGATCGCTGTCCTCCCAGGCACGGGCACCATCCGCCAAGGTGCCAACATGAAGGGGGCGATTACCTTGACCATACTGATCGGGGTCTTTGTGGTCTGCTGGGCCCCATTCTTCCTCCATTTAATATTCTACATCTCGTGTCCCCAGAATCCATACTGTGTGTGCTTCATGTCCCACTTTAACTTGTATCTCATACTGATCATGTGTAATTCCATCATTGACCCCCTGATTTATGCACTCCGGAGCCAGGAGCTGAGGAAAACCTTCAAAGAGATCATCTGTTGCTATCCTCTGGGAAGTCTCTGTGATTTGTCTGGCAGATATTAAATGGGGGCAGAGAGACCCTGGAACCAAGCAGGAGAGACTTTTCCCTTCTGATAGGACCTGAACAGTGTTCTTCAGCAACAGCTTTCCTTCTGGGGAGGGCACTGGGTGAGAATATGGATGTACAAATGCACGTTTATGATTTGGGGTGTGAAGAAGTCCCCGGTCTCTGTGTGTTGTTGATGTCATATTACTCCGGCTGTACAGTGTTAATCCACATTACAGGTTGTAGACACTGTGGGTTTACAGGGAAAAAAGTTCTCATTAAAAGCTTAACAATGTCTCTTTCTTGTAACCCATAAGAACGGGACACTTTCTAGTTGTAGTAACATGGAAATCACAGCCTCATTAAATATTCAAAGAAGTGGTTTCTTAGATTACACTGGACATTGTAACGTAGAGATTTGATTCTCACAGTTAAGGGGGAAATGTTAAAGAACAGATGTTTAGCCATTTTTTAAAAATCAGCTGAAATTTCAAGTAACTTAGTAAAACCTGTTCACTCTCCCGGTGCACAAGTAGAAATGAAGTGCCTGTTGACAGTGAAACATTTCCTGAGAAAGAAGTGAAATTCTGAGTCAGAGAACTTCGTGTTTCTCAAAGACAGGGAGATTAATTTCCCAGGCAAATAGTTCGATATTCCATTCAGGTACTTCAGTTTGGGGGTGGGGGGGAGCAGCTATGGGGATCACAGTGTTCTGGAAAACCTAAATTAACATGTCAAGCTAAACTTCCCAACACCAACCTATTTCCAACCATCATTAATAAAAACAGAGGGTAAGGTCTTTCTGCCCCTTTAACCAGGGACCCGGTGTCTGCTGAAATGTCTGGAAAAGGTGCTGCTTCCTTGGGATCTGGCTTCTGATCTCTACAGAGCAACACAATCAGTGCCGACTTCTTTCACTTTTCACATGGAAGTGACTTGCTGATTACTTAGTGCTTAATTTTTTAACTGGGGTATAATTCCTCATTATCAAGAATTTTAACTTTAAAAGCCAAATCTATAGCCCAAGAATTTTCAGGCAGCATTTGTCAATACCTACAGTAAGGGAACCTGGAAATAAGACAACCCCAGAGGACAACATGACCTAAGTTAACCTCCCACAACCACACGTGCAGAGTAAGTACTTGTTTGGCTCCAAAATAACCCCAGAGATTTGGCTACTGGGCAATACAATCTGCATGTCCCAGTGTGTGTGTACTTTAAAATAAAGAGAAAAAAAACGCATACTAGGGCTGGGGATTACCAGTAAACTGTCCTTTGATTTAATTTACAGTCTCTTCAAATGTTCATAGGCAGAAATAACATGCCAAGGTACTTCTTAATTCAAATCTAAATGGTGTGCACATTAACAAGTCCTAAGAACTCTCAGCACTCATGTGAAAACATTCCACTAAACATAATGGTGATATTCAAATTTACAAATGAAAGGTGGTACTGAAACTTGAGTTACTGCAATTCCTCTATTTTGACACAAAAACAAGCCTGAGGATTCTAACACAGATTGGCACAATAGTCAAAGTCGAAAGCTGTTGCCAGACGTGGACGGTGTTGTCTTTGCTACTCTTTCTGTCCATTCTTCATGCAGCGATTATAAGAAATCCCAGACACTGGAGATACAAGTAACGAAGCTCTAAGCATGTCTACCCCCCTTCCGCGGTGGCTGCCCTTCTAGTGTACTTATTTCTCCTTCAAGTATCATCTCAGACACGACTGGGCCAGTTAGAACCAGCCCACTTCTCCCACTAGAAGGAAATCGTCTCCTGTGTGTTCACATCCACACCTCCTCCTGAAGCAGTTTAGTGTGAGCGTGAATGTTAGTCATGAACCTGTCCTGTCCCACCAGCTGGGCCCTGCATGCCCAGGACACAATATTAGGCTTCTGTTTCTTTAAGGGCTAAGACTCTGTGTTACTTGTTTTTCCTATTTCTCTATTATGTTACTTCTTTCTCCAGTAAAACCACGATTCTTCAGAGGAACACGTCATTATCACCCAAAGCCCACCATTTACAGCAGAGTTCTCTGATGGTGTAGTGTAGTGTATGTGTTTGGACAAATGTATGAGAACATGTATCCGTCATTATGCTATCATTCAGAATAGTTTCACTTTCTTAAAAATCCTCTCTGCTCTGCCTATTTGTCCCTCATTTCCCCAACCCTGACAACCATGGACACTTTTACTGTCTCCACAGTGTTTTGCCTTTTTCAGAAAGTCATATAGTTGCAATGAGACAGTATATAACCTTCTCAAATTGTCCTCCTTCATTTGGTAACATGTATTTAAGATTCTTCCATGTTTTTTCATAATTTGGTAGTTTATTTCTTTTTAGTGCTGAATAGTAATTTATTCTATGGCTATAACAGTTGATTTATGTATCACCTACTGAAGAATATCTTGGCTGCTTCCAAATTTTGGCAATTATGAATAAAGCTGCTAAAAACCTTTGTGTGTGGACATATGTTTTCAAAGCATACCAAAGCACAGGAATTAACTTTCTAAAACTTTAGTATAGCGCTGTCTGGTTTGGCTCAGCAGTTAGAGTGTCAGCCCACAAACCAAAGGGTCACGGGTTCAATTCCCAGTCAAGGGCATGTACCTGGGTTGCAGGTTCTATCCCGGCCCCAGTGGGAGGCATGCAGGAGGCAACCAATCAATGTGTCTCTCTCACACTGATGTCTCTCTCTCCCTCTCTCTCCTTCCTTTCCGCTCTATCTAATACCAATGGAAAAATGTTCTCTAGTGAGGATTAACAACAACAACAACAAAAAACTTCAGTATAAATACCGTGGTGTACATATACACCCTTTAATATTTCATTAAGAGTGGATAATTAGCCCTGGCCAGTTTGGCTCAGCGGTTAGAGCGTCGGCCTGCAGTCCGGAGAGACCCGGGTTCGGTTCCCGCTAAGGGCACGTACTTCGGTTGCAGTTTGTCCCCGGCCCTGGTTGGTCGTGCGGGTGGCAGCCACTCGATGTGTCCCTTCACGTCGATGTTTCTCACTCTCTCTCCCTTCCTCTCTCTCCCTCCCACTCTATCTGTACAAAAAATGGAAAAATATCCTCGGGTGAGGATAAAAAAAAAAAAAAAGAAGAGCGGATAATTAGTATTTGGATGATGCTGGTCAGGACTATGCTCCAGATGTGGCTGGTAAGCAGCATCAGACACCTTTATTAAAATTTTCACCAGAAAGTTTAATTACTAATAAGGTATATTGGAAATAAATTTATATTGGTGAAATTGATACCAGAGAATTGAATTCCTCTATTGCTAGTAGGAGTGGGGTTCTTGGAACAAGCATTTCTGGAGGCCCTACAAGAGAATGCAATGTGGTAAAAGAGTTTATTTTCATAGAGTTACATTCCTCAGTTTCCAAAGTTCCATTTCCCTTAAGCCAGTCCTGGGAAAGGTGCAGCTGGGGCTTTAGTAGAGCTAGAAGCAAAGCCAGAGTTTTTTTCCCATGGTGGAGTTGAGTCTGATATAGCATCAGGCACCACAGTCCCTTAGTCCATTGTGTGGGTCCCACAAGAGCCACCTGGGCAAATGCAGGGTGTGAGAGGCCCACAAGCCAGGAGTCAGACGCGAGCAGCAAGAGAGAGAACTCTGTTTTGGAGTTTAAATGTTTCAGATTCCACACCTTTGCAGGGGCCATGCTTATTCTGGCCAATTACCTGTTTTCCAGGCGTGATTGACAGGTGAGCATCTTCCCACTTCACCCAGACCTTACTGGGCATGCATTTATTTTCCAGTTTCTTCCTCCAGTGATCTCTACAGAGAGTAGACTTGGAGAGTGTTAACTGCAGCTTCCTGGCAAAGCTGTATAAATGACATGCCTATGTTTTCTGGTCTTCCGTTTTCTCCTTTCCTGTTATTTAATAACCAAGTTTTTATAACTATCAAAATGAGTGATTTTTAAGACTTTTTAATTTAAAAAATTGTATAGCAATCACCATAACTTGCATGAACAAGGTGTGAGATGTGCCCCCTTAGCAGCTAACCTAACATTTAGATCCTTATCCAAAACTCCAAATAGTCCCACCTGCTTTTTAAAAAGTCTGTGTTGCCCAAACTAAATATTTTTAAATTACTACAAAAAATTCTTTAAGAATCATTTAATAACATGTAAGTATTAATTCTGTCATATGTTACAAGGACTACACAAAACAGAATATTTAGTGTGATGCCAACCATTCAAAGAAAGTATCACCAATCTCCTTCAAAACCTTCTACACAGTACTTTCCCTGAAAGTAAAACATTAAGGGACATGTTCACTTTCTTCAATGTGTGTTTAGATTATGTAAATGCACTACAGTACACGCATTTTGATTTTTTAAAAGCATACATAAACATAAGGACAGAAAGACGGTTGATGGAAATGCAGTTGCCAAATTAAGGATGGTTTGTGGAGAAAGAGTAAATGCGAAAGAAGTTAGTTTTGAATGAGAGCGGATCTGGAAGGTCATCCCATCTGACTTCCAAGCAGACTCAGAGAGGCTGCCTTCTGCCACGGGGCAGCATCAAAGCCCAAGCCCCACCCCCACCCCCCTTCACGTTTCCTTGCACCAGATTTCAAGAGTCTTCTTTTTGTAAACAAGCACAGCTTTCCCTGGTCGGAGAGACCTAGGACTAAATTCTGGTTACATCACCTTTTAGCTGTGAGATTTTGTTAAAGTTTTTTTTTTCCTCATTGTTAAATGTACATAAGAATACCTCGTCAATGGAAATCTTAAAACGAACTAAAGGAATTAGAAGATTAAGGATGTACAGTTCCACAGATGCATAAGCATTAAAAAGTGTTAAATATTAGTATCTTTAAAAATACAAAGTACATGAGTAAACCCATGTATGAATAAAAACTTCATAATTTTTCTACCTTTTTTGGACTCTCAATATTAGCAATAAATATATGTAGGCCTTGGGCTTAATTATATGTCTTTTTTTAGATCACATTTAATAATTTTCTTGAATTTGACTTTTTTTTGGTAAAAATGGATATATTTAAACATAGT